CAGTCGTTTAATTTAAATGCAGATATTTCAGGCATCCTTGTTCACGAGTACATCAGTCATCCCTACCACGCTGCCTGCTCTCTAGCGCTCTGTGGCGTGCTGTGGAGCTCTGTAGCAATGTGGAACTATGTGGAACTCTGTTGCACTATGTGGAGCTTTGCCACTGTGTGGAGCTCCATGATATTCCCTCCCATTTAGAGCTCTACCCTATGGCACTCCTTGTTCTGTGGCATTTTTCTATTACTGTTTCTACTGTTATTTCTTCTACTTTTAAAACGGCTGCTGTTTCTGCTGCTGTTGCTCCTTTTACTACCGCTACTACGATTGATAATAATAATAATAATAATAGTTTCTTAATTTACAGGTCTACGGATAACTCTCGCCATGTTTAACATGTTTCCTGACACAAGTCTACGGACAACTTTTGCCATGTTTAGTTATGTGATGGCGGAGACTCGTCTCTGATTTATTGATGCTGCTGCTCAAGGGATCTTCATCCATGGAACTGGAGCAGTCCTGATTGTCTCCCGTTCCCTAGGGGTATGAGTTTAACAAGAACTACGGTTATTTACCAACCAAAACTTTTCTCTTTCCAGTTGCCACAATATAAGATTGTTGAGTAATATCCCGCCGCTGATTGCTCGTTTGCCTTACAAGAAAGAAATTAGACTGTAATGGGTGATTAAGTGTCTTTATCCTTTATTTTACGTCTGAGGTGATTAATACACACACACACACACACACACACACACACACACACACACACACACACACACACACACACACACACACACACACACACACACACACACACACACAAAGACGTATGACAAAGCTAAGAAGAGTTACGACCAAGCTCAGGGAGCGGGGAGAGAGTGGACCTAGTAGCGACCAATGAAGAGGCGGTGCCGGGAGCTGTGAATCGACTCCTGCAACCACAATTAGGTGATTGTACACACACACACGCGCCCGCGCGTGTGCGTGTGTCTGTCCATTTGGGTCTGTAACAAAAAGTAAATATGAAGGATGACACTGTGTGACTCACTGTGTTGTTAGTTGATACAACCAACTCCGTCAGTACAGACAGGAAGCTCGACTTTCTCTCGTTCAGCAGACGGAGGATCAAGACTCCCCCACGTCTTGCGCTGATTGACCCCACATGGGTTTACCTCTTAACATGAATTATTTATCTGTTTTCTTGTCTGTCTTTCTGCAGTGGTTAAATGAAGCAGTTCAAGAAGTGACCACTAGTGGGCGGGGCCCACTGTAACAGTGAAGCCCGCCTAAGGTGGGCCAGAGATTATGTGAGATATTCTGTGTACTATATATTTATTTATGGTAAGGAAAACAAATTGCCATTATGCTTTTTCGGCAGAGGACACACTTGCCGAATAGGCCAAACTCGTACGTGTATGCGTGTGTGTACTCACCTATATATAGGTGCAGTGGTCGAGTCACAGCTCTTTGCCCCTCCCCCCGTGTGTGAATGTGGTAAGAGAGAGAGATAGAGAATTGGATTAAGTATTTAATTTTATATTTATCAGTGTATTTTCCTCTCTTTCCATACTGTGTCGCTGGTCCAGCAAGCTGGACCAGCGCCTGGTCCAGTATTTATTTCCAGTTTGTCGGTTTGTTGTGATGAAAATAATTAGTTTAAATTATTAAATAGATTACCCTCCAACATTTTGTTCAAAGATAATTTATTCAAGTATTCAAGATAATTATTGTGACAAGAGAGCTTTTTTATAATTGACATAATTATATAAAGGGAGAATAATTCAAGGAGAGTCCATTTGTGACAGTGGGGGAGGACTGAAGGAGAGTCCATTTGTGACAGTGGGGGAGCACTGAAAGAGAGTCCATTTCTGACAGTGGGGGAAGACTGAAAGAGAGTCCATTTGTGACAGTGGGGGAGGACTGAAAGAGAGTCCATTTCTGACAGTGGGGGAGGACTGAAGGAGAGTCCATTTGTGACAGCAGGGAGGACTGAAAAAGAGTCCATTTCTAGTAGCAGCGGGGAAGTCTCTAGAAGATTCCATTAGTAGCAGCGGGGGGACTCTAGAAGAGTCCATTAGTAGCAGCGGGAAAATCTCTAGAAGAGTCCATTAGTAGCAACGGTGAGGTCTTTAGAAGAGTCCATAAGTAGCAGCGGGGGATTCTAGAAGAGTCCATTAGTAGCAGCGGGGGACTCTAGAAGAGTCCATTTGTAGCAGCGGGGGGACTCTAGAAGAGTCCATTAGTAGCAGCGGGAAAGTCTCTAGAAGAGTTCATTAGTAGTAGCAGGGAGGTCTCTAGAAGAGTCCATTAGTAGCAGCGGGGGACTCTAGAAGAGTCCATTAGTAGCAGCGGGGGGACTCTAGAAGAGTCCATTAGTAGCAGCGGGGAGGTCTTTAGAAGTCCATTAGTAGCAGCGGGAAAGTCTCTAGAAGAGTCCATTAGAAGCAGCGGGGAGGTCTTTAGAAGAGTCCATTAGTAGCAGCGGGAAAGTCTCTAGAAGAGTCCATTAGTAGCAGCGGGGAGGTCTTCAGAATAGTCCATTAGTAGCAGCGGGGAGGTCTTTAGAAGAGTCCATTAGTAGCAGCAGGGAGGTCTCTAGAAGAGTCCATTAGTAGCAGCGGGGGACTCTAGAAGAGTCCATTAGTAGCAGCGGGGGCACTCTAGAAGAATCCATTAGTAGCAGCGGGGAGGTCTTTAGAAGAGTCCATTAGTAGCAGCTGGAAAGTCTCTAGAAGAGTCCATTAGAAGCAGCGGGGAGGTCTTTAGAAGAGTCCATTAGTAGCAGCGGGAAAGTCTCTAGAAGAGTCCATTAGTAGCAGCGGGGAGGTCTTTAGAAGAGTCCATT